TGAAGCATGCCATCGAATCACATCACCTTATGTCTGATTCATATGGAAATATATACATACCCTTTGAGAACCAAGGTAAAATCCCCTGTCTCCTTTCTAAAGCCACAACGTAGCCCTTACCTAGACTGTTTTAAAATTAGAACCTTGAATTTTGTAGTGTTTCTTCAACCGAAGGAACCATTTATCGAGTTCAACATGAGCCTGGGATGCTCGATCTAGGATAATTTGGTTATGATGCTGATGGACTGAGGTCCTTTTGAGCTAAAGCTGCACTTCAGGAGTGATGCAAGTGTGAAAACGTAACAAGGTTCTAAACCCACTGTTATTCGATCTGTCCAGGCTCCTTCCCGTGCCCAGGCGAAGTCCAGCAGACCCACCCTTGGCTAAGAGCTGAGTGCCTGCGAAAGGCTCGGAGGCAGGCCTCGTTCTCCCGGTGATGCTCTAGAGGAAGGGCTCCCTTTACCTGTGGAGATTTAAGAGTCTGGAAACCCAAACTGCTGAAGTCTGAGAGACAGGAATGCATGCTGGCCTGAAGGCCAGGCCAGAGACCAGAGTAGCATAGAGCTGAGGAAGGCACTGCTTAACCACCTCAGTCTGGTCTCTGTTTCGGTCTGAAATTAAAATAGGTCGGCCCTTGCAATCAGTTTCCCTAAAAAAGAAACAACCTCAAAAGTAAAGCCAAGAAAATCAAAAGGTCATATAAGAGAGAAATTATAATATAGATCATACTTACAGATGAAAATCAAGAAGCTACAATTAGAATATTCAGAGAAATATAACCCTCCCTAAAATACAGTATGAGTTTGCATTTGTCTTTTAGTTTCCAGAATTTGCTACCTTTTCTGTATTCTTTGTTTCTAATGGGTTTGTTTCTTTTAAAATACCTTTTGATGAGATGAGAGAGAGAGAAAAGGTGTTTGTCACCATTTCTAATGGCAAGCAATTCAGAGATATAGGCATTACAAGTGTATGAAATTTTCAAAGTCTTCCAAGCCTAACATGGTTAACACAGCATTGTAAGCCCAGCATTTGGGAAGCTGAGCAGAAGGATCATGAGTTCTAGGGCAGCGAAGACTACAGAGAGACAGTGGCTAGAGAGGCGGCTCAGAGCTTTGAGCACTTGCTGCTCTTCCAGAGGTCCTGAGTTCGGTTCCAAGCACTCACGTGGAGCAACACATGACTGCCTGTACCCCCAGCTTCTTACAGCACCTGAGCAAGCATGGCCTACTCGTGTACACATAAACAATAACAACCTGTGGCTAAAGAGGTGCCCCAGCAGTTAGCAGTGCTTCTGGTTCTTCCAGAGAACAGGAGCTAGCTTCACAGCACCATATCAGGTAGCTTACAAGTGCTCTAAATCTTGCTACCCACCACCCACACACATGAGGCATATACACATAGAGAAAAGAATAAATATTGTAAAAATGGTTTAGACTGAGCAAGTATATGCAAACCATAAAAGCATTTTAATTCTTAAGTTTCATTGACTATTAACTACTTAGATTGCAGCTTATATGTTACTTAAATTAACTCAGGAAAAGTAAAGCTTTCTCCCCATTTCCAAGATCCTAAAAACTAAGTTATCATTTACATAATTGCACGTGAACGTGTGTGTGTGTGTGTGTGTGTGTGTGTGTGTGTGTGTGTGTGTGTGTGAATGCAGGCTCCCAAATATGCTGAAGCTAGAGTTACAGGTGTTTGTGGCGTGAGCCACCTGTAGAGGGTGCTGGGAATGAAACTCAGGTCCTCTGGAAGAGCAGCACAGACATCTTAAGCACTGAGCCATCTCTTCAGCCAGTTTTATATATACACTGAATTTCGTTTTGTAATATAGGAATAACAAGCCCTAAAAAAAAATCTGTATTTTTCACATACTTCCTGTTTTGAGTTTAATGATAAAAAGAAACATTGTATTAGTTTATTGACCATCAATTTTCAAAATGCATGTTAGACTATAAGCACCTGAACATAATAAACACGTTTTTAGTTACATTTGTGTTTCTTTCTGTGTCTGACAGAGTGAAGTGTAGGCCTTTCACAGTGAGCACAGAGGTGACATACAGCTGTATTTCAGCAAAATTATCACACATATTGGTCACAAGGCACAGCTACATTAGTAGGATCTAATGGCTGACAGTAGTCATGAATTCTTGCCCAAAGGTGGGAGGGTGGGCCAAGGGTTGGAAAATGTTTTCTGTTTTCAAAAAACATGACAGAAAGTAGTCCGGGTTGTATAGAAACTCAGACAGACGAGTGGGCAGAATTCCCACTAAGGTTAAATAACAGCCACATTTCCTCTTTAATCCCATGTCCTAAATGTTAACTGCTTGGCTGAGTGCTTGTCTCGGTGTTGCTTTGGAGTATGTCTGTAGAGGACATCGAGGTCCTTCCTCCAACAACACAGGCATTATCCTTGCCAGCACCAGGCAGCAGAATAAACATAGGCTGTCTTGCCTGTGGATGAAAGAGTTCCCAGGGAGTTGGCTGGCCTGGACTTCTCCATTGGCATGTCTCGGTACACTGAATCATCACAGACTGAGCAAAACAAAGAAACTTGGAAGCAAAGGTTTTCATTATCACATATTTGTTTCACATTATCTAGCTTCCCAGAGAACTGAGTGATTCTGACAAAATGTGATTCCCTAAAACATGGTGTCAGCCAGCTCATGCCTAGAATCTCAATACAGAGAGGATAAGGAAAGAGAATTGTCATGAATGTGAGGCCAGCCCAGGCTAAATCATGAGTGCTGAGAATTGAACCCAAGTCTTCTGGAAGAACAAGCAGTGCTTTTAACCACTGAGCCATTTCTCCAGCTCCAATGTACCAAATTTTGAGGAGAATTAAGGGGGAGGGATTTCTTTTTTAACTTGAAATTTTTAACCTTCCTAATGTTGAAATTTTTAAACTTTATAGTACCTAATAATGTGATTTGACTTTCCTGGTTTACTTGATATGATCATATTAGTGTTATAATCCTCCCAGAATTACTGAACAACCCAGTTGTTGTGAATTTTTTTTCGAATATACACACATATTGTGTGTGTGTGTGTTTAATTGTTTAAAACTTATTGCCAAGTGTGGCAGTGTATGCCTAAAGGATGGGGTGGCAGGCAGATCCCTGTAAGTTCGAGGCTAGCCTAGTCTACAAAGTGAGTCTAGGACAGCCAAGGCTCTCAAAAAACAAACAAAAACAAAAAACAAAAAACAAACAAACAAAAGATTTGCTTATTTTGTTTTATATGTATGAATGACTTCATGTATGTCTGTGTACCATGTTCATGCAGAGCCCTCAGATGTCAAAAATGGGCACTGATCTCCGGGAACTGGAGTTATAGATGGTTGTGAGCCACCATGTGGGTGCTGGGAGGCAAAACTGGATCTTCTGGAAGAACAAGTGCTCTCAAGCACTGGGCCTCTTTGCAGGCCAACACAGAGATGTTGTGTTTAGGAGAGACAAGTTCCCATTACAAGTCATGTCTCATCTTCATTATCTTGCTCATAGGATTACACCACAGTTGAAATCTATGCTTTGGTCTGGAAAATAGAAATATAATTATTTACTGCCTTTAGATGGTTACAAAACATTTACATTGAAACAAAAAAGTTCATACAACCCAACTGCATTTGTACAAGTAAATACCTTTGCTCCTGTTTATCCATTTTTATTCCAGGGGAAATGAAATCATCATATTCCCTGCCCAACATCATGAAAACGGAAATCCAGTTTCCAGTCCAGCTTTGTTTAAATGTATTTATAAATGTTCTTCTGTGTTCTAAATCATGCCTACCTACAAGCAACAGAAACATATTCCAACAGATTTTACTATTGAAAATAAGTGGAATGAAAATATATACAATTACAGAAGCATTAGACATTTCAAAGAACTAACCACCAAAGGTTGCAAAGATGCCTTAGAAGTCAGTTCTTCATGAAGACTTCCTTGACCTATCCTATAGTGGACTCTTACTGACTTAACATTGCGGTCATTTAACACTGTGGTGTTTGGGCTGTTTATCATGGGTGTTAAAAGTGTTGATATTGAGGTCTTTACAATAGGCCAAAAGTGGGCAGCTTTATGAATAAGTAAACAATTTTTCTTTTGTTTTTTAAAATCAATTAGTTTATTCATTTTACATTCTAATCATGGCTCCCTCCTTTCTCTTCCCCCAGTCTCACCCTCTCTCCCTTTCTCCCTTCCCCCACTCCCCTCCTCCTCAGAAAAGGAAACACTCACCCAACCCATCCTGGCACATCAAATCACATAAGGACTAAGCATATCCTTTTCCACTGAGGCCAGACAAGGCAGCCTCTCCAGGAGAAAGTGATCCAAAAGCAGGCAACAGAGTCAGAGACAGACTCTGCTCCACTTGCTAGGAAACCCACACGAAGACCAAGCTTCTCATCAGTTAGATATCTGTTGGAGGCCTAGGTCCAGATCATGGAATTATTTTCTTAATTGAGGTTCCCTCTTCTCATATGACGTTAGTTTGTGTCAAGTTCACATAACATCCAGCAAGCATTTGAAAGACATCCATCCTGATCTTCAAGAAACGTCAGATAAACAAACAAATTAACTCACAAAAACCAACCATTTTTTCATTGAGTATTTGCCCAAGTGAAATGAAAACTACATAAACTACACACAAATGTCTGCAGCACCTTCACACATTATCAAAAAGCTATGGTCCAAATGTTCATTAACACACTATCAGATAAACAGGCTGTGATAAACGCGTAAGATGGAACACAGCGGAAGCTAGGGAATGAGTACAGATGCAAGCAACAACACAGATGAGTCTTAAAAGGTGTAGGCCATGCAAACAAGCCAGGCCCTAGTATTTATAAGAAATACTAGAAAATACAAAATGAACCTACTGCGGTGGTTTGAAGAGACCACTGTCCGGGCCGGTGTTGCTGGCTGAGGAGGCGGAGCCTTGCTGGAGGAAATGCACCGCTGGGGCCGGGCTCTGTTCCGCCCTCCTCCGCGCGTGGCTGGGAATGTGTGGTCTCCTTGTGTTTGTGTGCTCTCCTCACCCAATCCAAGCTACAGCCTTCTTGGGGAGTGCAGCTGCAACTCCTTGCAAAAGGACCACCGCAGATGGACTTTTGACTGTTTAAGGTGAGGAGATATCATGAGCCCCTCACCCCAGTATCCAGTTGTTCCTTGCCACCTGTTTTATGTAACATTGCCTTAATAGCACATGGCGTCAAGGAAGGACTGGAGTATACAGGCTGGGGGTTCTGAGGGCCACGACTCGGTCTATGTGAGTACAGGGAAGCCCTGGTCTCTCCCGAATGAAGGCTTTTGAGGTATGGCCTGCTGGCAGGGGAATAGCACGCACATCCCCTCAATTAACACCACAGCTGTGCTCTGTAAGGAAGCCCAATAAACTCATTGGGCCCTCAGAGTGAACTTGTGCCTGTTTGCCACTTGGATCTTAGGAAACTGTTAATGCTGCTTCCTGGGGAGGAATCTCACCAGCCCCTCTCCATTACGATGGGCTCTTATTTCTCTGGAATTATAAGCCAACATAAAAACTTTTGTCTATAAGTTGCTTTTTGTTAAGGTATTTTATTACAGTAACAAAAAAAAATCACTACTACAATTCTTTTTTTTTTTTTAATTGTCAATTGCCTACAACTGGGTGGAGGGAGAATTGACTGGAAAGGGGCATTGGCAAGAACATGCAGATCTGGGGACCTGGAATTTACAAATATTGACTCACCCGTCAACACTGTACGCTTAGAACGGAGACATCGTATTCCCGTTTTTTATAATACAGATTCATAATAAAAATAACACACCCCATGCCTGAGAAGAGGTCTAATGACAGCCTTGGAAAAAGGGAAGATCACTGAAAACACTCTTCTTTTTCTGGAGTGTGGCGTACATTACAAGTTAGCATGACCAGGGCAGGCATACCAGCTGACTCCCTCAGGGATTCCTGTTAGGCTTACAAGCTAATAGATAAGCTCTGTCCCCCGGAGCATAAAAACTGAGCCCTGGAGATGCAGTTTCCACAGAAAATAAAGCCCAGAGGACTGGGGACTGGCAGGATAGGGCCAGTACCAACCTGGCTTCTTTTCTGGGAACTCTTATCTTGTTCTGTATTTATCCAGTGCTGTATTTAGAAAAGATTAAATCAAAACTGTGAAATTAAAACACGATGAGTGACAGCTCTAAGAGACAGCAGCTGTGATTAGATTTTCATCATGTCAGGCCTGAGGTCTGTATTTCAGGTCACTTTTTTCCATTGGCGCCCATCCTGAAGGGCAAGAATTATCTTTCTACTGGCTATTTTCTAAGCCACCTGTTGCCTCCATGGGGTAGAAGATTAGTAGGGTTTAAGTGGAAACAAGCCACTTCAGAATATTTTGATAAAGCAAATTATTACCTGATGTCAGCAAAGATCTCCCTGTGTGCTCTGTTCCCTTTAGGTGGAAAAATAAAATCTTTGGGACCACATGATTCAAATGTATACCACAATTTTTTTTAAGCTGAATGAACAAATATCCACTGTTTCCTAAAGTACGTGACCAAGTGGTTCTTGAAATGTTTAATATATGTTCAGATAAATCTAAAGTCAAGAGGTGATGTATGTAAATTAATTTTATTTTTCTCTTTATTTCTTTTTGGGTTTGGGAGGAGGGTTGTTGTTGATGATGATGTTCATTTGGGGTTTTGTTTTTAGACAGGATCTCACTATGCTGTTCTGGCTGTCCTGGAATTCACTCTGTAGACTCTGCCCTTCACCTCCGAGGTCTGCCTGCTTCTACCTCCCAAGTACTGGAATTAAGGATGTGTGCCATTAGGCCCAGGATTCCTTTTCTTAATAAATACAAAATTGTGTAACAAATCGGTTTTGTCTATAAGATAGAATCATTGATATTTAATAGGCTACTGAGATATCTTTCTCAGTAGAATGCTAGCAGCAGTCTTAACTGATGAATGTTGAAGCATCTCAAATGCACTATACTAAATTAAAGAGGACAATTCAAAAAGCTCCTTATGCCTGATAACATTCACAAAACATTCTGAAAGGGACAAAACTATGAAGACAAAATAGATGAATGATTTTCATGGGCCAAAGTGGGGGGGGGGCTTGAGCAATGGAGGGATGCCTTTGTGTTATGATTATGAGATAACTACGTGCATGACTGTGGGCAGGAAGCAGTTGTCAAATGACCTTAAAATTTACTGTATATAAGTCACATCTTAATCTCTGAGTTCATGGCCAGTCTGGTCTACAGAGTAAGTTCTAGGAGAGCTACACAGAGAAACCTGGTGTCAAAAAACAAAAACAACCAAAAAAATAACCCTCGATATTTTCAAATAGTTATTGCCTGATCCCGAATCTGTTTTAAGGTGAAGGAAGAATAAAGGACCAGCATAGGTATTGCAGATTTGAAAATTCCCACTAGATTCTAAAGATACAAAGTTAGTCATCAGACTCTTCTATTAATAGCAAGTGAGCTGTGTGAGTCACAGTATTTCGGAACGGTTGTGAGCCTTGGTAAGAGCCCTTGGTATAATTGTCATTCTTTGCAACTGTCTTTAGATGTGGCAAGAGAGAGACTGTATGTTTGAAATTTTGCTTTTACAGTTAGAAGATTAAGATACGTGGTTGACGCTTTGGAAACCAATCTGGCACTTTCTCAGAAAATTGGGAATAGTGCTACCTCAAGATCCAGGTATACCACTCCTGGGCATATATCCTAAATATGCTCAACTATACAACAAGGACATTTGCTCAACCACGTTCATAGCAGCTTTATTTGTAATAGCTAAAATCTGGAAGCAACATAGATGTCCCTCAACTGAGGAATGGGTACAGAAATTGTGGTACATTTACACATTGGAATGCTACTCAGGTATTAAAAAGGAAATCATGAAATTTGCAGGTAAATGGATCGATCTAGAAAAGATCAGCATGAATGAGGTAACCCAGAAGCAGAAAGACACATGGCATATACTCACTTATACGTGGATATTAGACATATGACATGGGATAAACATTAAAATCTGTACTCCTAAAGAAGCTGAACAAGAAGGAGGACCCTAGGGAAGATGCTCAATCTTCATTCAGAAGGGCAAACAGGATAGACATCAGCAGAAAAAAACAGGGAACAGGACAGGAGCCTACCACAGAGGGCCTCTGAAAACCTCTACTGATCAGGGTATCAGATGCTGAGATTCATAGCCAAACTTTGGGCAGAGTGCAGGGAATCTTATGGAAGAAAGGGGAGAGAGCTTCTGTCTGGAGGGGACAGAAGCTCTAAAAGGAGACCAGCAGAGCCAAAAAATCTGGGCCCAGGGGTCTTTTCTGAGACTGATACTCCCACTAAAGACCATGCATGGTTCACACAGAACCCCAGCAGAGATGTAGCCCATGGCTGCTCAATCTCCAAGTGGGTGCCTTGGCAAGGGGAGCAGGGCTGTCTCTGGCATGAACTCAGTGGCTGACTCTTTGATCATCTTCTCCTTTGGGGTGCAGCCTTGACAGGCCACAGAGGAAAACAATGCAGCCAGTCCTGATGATATCTGATAGGCTAGGGTCAAATAGAAGGGGAGGAGGACCTCCCCTATCAGTGGTCTAGGGGAGGGCCACAGAGGGAGAAGATAGAGAGTAGGTGGGATTCAGAGGAGATGAGGGAGGGAGCCATACCTGGGATAAAAAGTGAATAAACTGTAATAAACAAACAAACAAATAAAAGGATACTTGATTGAATGGAAATCCAAAATTTTTACCATTATATTGCTGTTTGGTTTGTTTTTTTTTTAGTTACCTGTCTATTAACTGCCTTCAGAAATTGGTAAAAGCAAATAGGCCTTTAGCTTATGCTTTAGATAGGCCTGTGCTATGAACCTTAACTTTTCTAAACTAAAATGTATTCATATATATACTTACCTATTATTTGACTATAATCTAGCCTGGTTGTTTTTAGTGACATCTCTGTAAAATGGGCTCTTTGACAGTGTTTCTTCAGGGTGGCATATAATATTGTATCTGATAAAGAAAATGAAGACAGACGCCAGACTTTCCTTCACTGTAACAGATAACCTGAAATCCTGGAGTCATTCAGGCTCGGGTCTGGAGGACATTTTTTATTTCATCTTCTCCCTCACATAAGGTTCCCTTTCTATTCAGTCTGTACAGTCACCTCCTCCCTGAGTCCCCATTACTGTTACTCAGACCTGGTGTATGTGAGCCTGGGAATGGGTTTTGCTTGTTTACTTTACTAGAGACCCCAAGGCTCTATCCAAGAGAGGGAGAACCAGGAGCTCTGTGCAAAGGCAGGAATCTCTATTTGTGTGCCTCCTAAGAAAAGGCAGGAGGCAGATGTCTTAGTCAGAATTTCTATTGCTGTAATGAAACACCATGACCAAAAAGCAAGTTTGGGGAAGAAAGGGTTTATTTTTTTTTTTTTTTTAGCTTATGCTTCCAGATCATAGTCCATCATTGGAAGAAATAAGGATAGGAACTCAAGCAGCGCAGGAACCCAGAGGCAGGAGCTGATGCAGAGGCCACTGAGGGGTGCTGCTTACAGGCTTGCTCACATGGCTTGCACAGCCTGCTTTCTTACAGAACCCAGGGCTAGCATCATCCCCCATGGCCTAGGGCCTCCCCCATTGATCACTAACTGAGAAAATGCCTTACACCTGGATCTCATGGAGGCATTTCCTCAACTGTGGTTCCTTCCTCACTGATGACTCAAACTTGTGTTAAGTTGACACACAAGACCATGAAGTACAGCAGACATCTGCAGTTTCAGAGTGACCTTCTTCTCAGAGCCTGCTCTGTGGAAAAAGTAGCAGAAGAAGTACAATAAAATGATCCAAATAAATTGAAGGCACACAGGGAACAGGGAACTACATCTCCCCCTCTATTCCCTCCCACTCATTAAACACACTGAATATGAGGGCCTGGTTTCTGCAGGAAATCTGATGGGTCTGTTCTAAGGTATTAAAAACACATGAAGGGGACAGTGATAGCTGCTAACTTCAGGGATTGACCTCTCAAAGTCAAATCACTCTGCTCTTAGAAGTAGAAGCCTACTTATCCTAAATCTATCCCTCTCTAACTAGCATTTTTTTTTTTTTTGAGGCAGGGTCTCACTGTATAGCTAAAGCTGATCTCAAACTTGCAATTGTCTTTCTTCCCAAATACTGGGATTATAACTGTGCAACACCATAGCTGGCTTATGCTCTCCTCTCTGTCTGTCTGTCTGTCTGTCTGTCTCTCTCTCTCTCTCTCTCAGCATGTAACAGTCGTGACATCTACGCCAGCACTTGGGAGGCTGATGCAGGAGAATTGTATGCTTGAGGTTAGCTGAAGCTGCATGAGATCATCTCAAACACAAATAAATAAGTAAACACAACTGCAATTATCCCTAGGCATTTGTCAAAAACCTGCCAAGTGCACCAATAGAAAACTTAACGCATAGAAACAGGTACAAACAACAAAGAGCCTCTTTTTTTCTATGGTCTAATAACTGTGAAAGATATATTTAAGCAGATAGAATGTTATGAAAACTTTAATGATAAAGTCTTAATATACCTAAAATACAATAGCCCAAATGAAAACATAAATATTATTAAAAGATACAAATTAAGTAATTTCCTCCAAATATTCAGCAAAACAAAAAAAAATGTGACATAAGAAAAACTATCTATCAAAACTAGGTGGTGAGTTGAGCACCGTGGTGCACACCTATAATCCTAGCACTTGGGGAGGCAGAGGCAGGTAGATCTCTGTGGGCTTGAGGTCAGCCTGTCTACAGAGAGAGTCTAAGACAGCTAAGGCTATACAGAGAAAGCCTGCCTTGGGAAAAAAAAAAAAAAAAAAAAAAAAAACTGGGTTGTGGTAGCACATGCCTTTGTTCTGAGCACTTCGGAGGCAGAAACAGGCAGATCTATGTGGATTTGAGTCCAGCCTGGTCTACAGCATGACACATAGGACATCCAGGGCTACACAGAGAAATCCTGTCTCAAAAAAGACCAAAAAAGAAAAACAAAACAAGCAAAAACATCTATCAGGACAGAATTGAGTTAGAGGCCTAAGGTCTAATAAATACCATTTAAAAAGAAAAAGACATGGACCTTAGGCCTCTAACCCAATTCTTAACCATTGAGCCATCCCCCCAGCCCATTGGATAACCAGTTGGGGTGCTCTTCCCTGGAAAAAAACTGTTTCTCTCATGCTCAGCACTCCTGGGCTGCCTGTAGCTCTTTTGCAGGGTTGAGGCCCCAGCCCTTGGAATGTCCAGCTACCGGTATCCTTCTTCAGCCTGTGTTTAGGCAATCATCCTGGGCCAGACTTGATGGCTGTAGCTTCTGACATTAGTAGGAGACATAGTCTCATAGTAAACTGTGATCCTTTGGCTCTTACAATCTTTTCTCCGATGTTCCCTGCGTCTTAGGTCGGGAGTGTTCATTGGAACTAGACTACACTACTCTGCATTTTGATTGGTTGTGGTTTTCTGTAACAGTCTCTGTTGCAAAAAGAAGTGTGCATGATGAGGGGTGAAAACTGCACTTATCCGTGGCCATAACAACAAATATTTAGAATTTAATTAGAGATTATGCTGGTTTAGTAAAGTGGCAATTGTAGGTTCTCTTCCAAGCTCCATAATTTCACTATCCCTGAGTAGTTACATAGGTTTCCAGTCCCAGGCATGATTTCCCTATTGTTCAGCCATGTTAGAGACGTGTTGGTTACTGACAAAGTGTGTAAGCCCTACTGTACCCTTAGGGTTAATTTGCCGCATGGTCATTGTTGTTTGTAGGAATTATAGCTTGGTCGGACTTTTGGCGCTTCCCTCCTGTGGAAGCTTGC